TGGGTTATGTATCTCTTAATTTCAAGTAAAAAGAGCCAACAAAGTGACCAAGGTCTTTACTTAAGTGATAAAAGTTGAGCCCCACAATTTTGTGCGTCGTCTGTTTGAGACCGACGGAAGGACTAACAATGGAGATTTTGGAAAGGTTGAGAGTGACTGCGGGCACCAAATGACGGTTATGGAAAGGTTGAGAGTGACTGCGGACACCAAATGAGGGTTATGCATGAAATTGTCTCATGTCATAAAGATTGGGGTTAAAAAGAGAATTTTACCCCTATATTTTGTATGACCTGAGGTCCCAGTTGGTTTGGGAATCTTTTAATTTTTTTTTTTAATTTTACTCCTTACAAAGTTATTTGCTTTTTTTTTTTTTATGCGTCAAGACCACAACAAAAAATGATAAAAGTGATATTTTTATTTTTTATTTTTTTATATAATTCTTAATTTATAAACTTTTATTTCTATATTTTTTAAATTAAAGAAAGTTTTTTTCCAAATTTTTTTCTGTAAGTGACATATTTGACCATTTTTTTTATCAATTTTCTCTATAATAATTTCATATTAAATACATAAAATTTAATAATTCAAAAAAATTAAATAAAATTTTATTATAAAATTTATCCATTTTTTATATAATTTTTTAATTATTTTTAGATAAAATTTGTTAGACAGTGTTATAAAAATAATCTTTTTATATAATTTTTATTTATTATTAAATAAATAAATATATTTAATTAATATTACAAGTTTTATATAAATTTAAAAATTAATAATTTAAATAAAATATTAAATTATATAAAAAATAATTCAAAAATTATTCTAAAATCATTTCTCAAATTTTTTATAACATAGGTACTTCTAACCAATCAAGCAGCATGGAAAAAGGTTATGAAGGTAGGGAGAGTCGGTAATACAGTAAATCTACAGATGTGGCAAATAAAGTAACTTTGTTTTGGATGAGTGGTACTTGTAAGTTAGGTGAGCAATTTAACACGTGAGGTGGCCGTGGCCAACCGCGATTCACATTCCAGAGAAGGTAGGTGTCATCTTGGTTGTTGCTGTATTTTTTTACGTCCCATTTCACATTTCTTATTGCTAGTACAATTTATTCAAGAATCAAAGAAAGAAAGCAGAGAGAGAAAACAGAGGAAACAGAGATGGGTGTGATAAAGTCCGCCATAGGAGATGCAGTGTTGACCTCCATGTGGGTCTTCACCTTGCCGCTGCTGAGGGTTTTTACCGGCACCATAGCCGCGTACCTCGGTGTCGAATCTATACCCCTCGCTGGACTCTTGATCACCATCAATCTGATCACCCTGATGGTGCTCTGTTTCAGCTTTGTAGGCACTCTGTTTGGAGGTGCCAGCTTCAATCCCTCTTCCACCGTCTCCTTCTACGCTGCGGGCCTCAGACCAGATTCTACCCTCCTGTCAATGGCAGTGAGATTCCCTGCTCAGGCAGTGGGCGGCGTGGCTGGTGCCAAGGCAATTTTGCAGGTGATGCCAGATAAATATAAGTATGTCCTTGGAGGGCCTTCTCTGAAAGTGGACTTGCACACTGGAGCCATAGCGGAAGGGGTTTTGACCTTTGTGCTTAGCCTAGCCCTGCTGGTGATCATGCTTAAGGGTCCCAAAAACCCTCTGGTGAAGGTATGGTTGGTGGGTGCGGTGACAGTGGGACTTGTTATTAATGGTGGAAAGTATACAGGGCCTTCCATGAACCCTGCAAATGCATTTGGATGGGCGTATGTGAACAACTGGCATACTTCTTGGGAGCTCTACTATGTTTATTGGATTGGGCCTCTAATTGCATCAGTTTTTGCGGGTTGGGTTTTTAGATTGCTCTTCCCCAAACCACTCATCAAACACAAGAAGGCATAAAATAGAAGAGGTAAAAAGGTCTTGCCCAATGCCAATAATAAATTAAACTCATTCCAATGTTGTTCGCGTATTACTAGCTTACCTTACTTAGTGTTGTCATGGATTTGTTTGTTCCCTGTAATGAATGATTATTCAAGATTATATTATGTGGACTTATTTTTTATCTCTCTATCTATCTCCTCGAAAGATTTTTGTAACCCTTTGTATGGAGATCTTAACTATACCTAAATTCTAACCAATTCTAATTGAAATATAAAGTCAAATCTCTGGAGAATTTTTTATGAGATTCATTTTGACCATGTAATCCTGATTTGCTTCTAAATTTCACTTACGGGTATAACAACTTGGATCTAAAACCGGAACAACAAAGTGATAGGTGTAGTGTAGGCATACCATTGATGTATTTACTTTATACATACGAAGAAGTACATGGGTCGGCTATTGAGGCGAAGAGGGGGATTAAGAGTGGAAGGTGATAATCTTTATTCACTGATTTTACATGTATATATACACAGGTTCTGTAGTTGCCCTAATTTACTCTTATAGAAGGAACTAATAAAAATGGAAATATACATAATGTGCAGAATCCTTATTATTACTATGATTAGCAAGATAATCGTGAGAATCATTCAACCTTGATATCCCTTGTGTGTGATTGAGCCATGATTGATGGTGCAGTATCTGGAGTTTCCTTAATAGGTTTGCCCTTAATTATTACTAAGAACCAATTTGTGAGCTCTCCAATCTTCAATGTTTTACTACCACTCATACATGAATGCTCCCCATCCCCAAACAAGTGGATGGTTGGGTTACCCTCTTCGATTAGTCAAATCATTTAAGTCACTGTAAAAACTTCAACATCCTCCATTGGTGGTGGGAGACGGGAAAGATCGATAGATCCCTCCGTTAATTAACTTTCGCATTGGTGTTTTAATTTTAAGTAGAAAGGAGCCATTGCAACTTAGAATGACCAATAATCAGTGGTTGAATTTCCAAGAATGAACAATTCCAAGGGGCCATCTGCAACTTTTAGTTTAGTTACTGCTATAAAACACAATAGTACTACTAGTAAAGTGAAGAAAAGCCAGTCCCCATTAGAGAAAATGTTGCGCCAGGGATTTACAAGAGAGAATCCCATCTCTCTGTCTCCAGTTAAAGAAGAAGATCCTATTATTTTGAAAGTGCAGAGACCAAAAGAAGTTGATGTCTACTATAGGGTTGGCAGAGAGACACCGTTTCAACTTCTGATGCTTCATTACGGTGAGTTTATGGGCTTTGTTTTCGACGAATTGAAATTTCTTTATGATGGTAAGAATGTGAAACCAGAGAACACAGCCCAAGAATTTAAAATGGAGGATGAAGATATCATTGATGCAATGTCTGACATGCTGGGTGGAGGTTGTCCTTGCTTCTTTTGCCTGAGAATTTCTTGCCCTGTTTTTCTTTATTCTCGAATATCATAGGCTCCTATCTTTCGAAAGAAACAAATGTTGGCCCCAAAAGTCCACTTTTCATTGTTGCTCTGGGAATTTTATGAAAAGAAACTCCTTTTTATCTACTCCTAGTGTAGATTCATCTTTTCTAAGTTAATTGCATGTAATGTGTAGATTCATCTTTTCTATGTCAAATTGCAGTCAACAATATTGAAATTATTAAAACATTATTATTAAAATAACATAATAAAAAATTTATTAAAAATATTTTAATAAATTTATAGATTAAATTATATTTTTATAGTACAATCTAACTTTAAAAACACTTTTTTATTTTTCTTTTAAGGGATAATTTTAAAAAGAATAGAGGGAGCTCCTATATATCGGCTAGGGCTTCAAGGCTACATGACAGCAAATTAGGAATATTAGATTAAGACTTTTAAATCAAAGGAGGATATCTAAATGCACCATGTCAAGGAGTCCCAAAAAATTAAAAAAAAAAAAACTACAAAAATTAAACTTCAAATACAGAAGGATATATGATTTTAGAATTTGGTAACCTACTCCTGTAGTTACTAAACTTAAACATAACTTTTATTTTAATCAATCATCTTTTAAATTTGTAAATTTAGTCACCTAAACTTTGTTTTTAAAGTGAAACCGTCAGTCATTTACTGTTAACTCCTTTATTCTGTTAAGTTCTTCTATAGCGTGACACTATGTAGACTCCACATGATCTAAGAGAATTACTTTTCAACCAATAAACTTTAAATGCTTTATAATTAAGTCCAAAATCAAGTCCATCAACAGCTAAATTTAGTGAAATGGCCCTAATTTAGTGACTTTTTATCCTTTATATTCAGAAGGAATATTTAAAGATTTAGCTTAGATTATGAGTGTGCATTCTTTAGGTCCAAATGGAAATGATCATTCATGAATGGGAAACTTGACAATATATGGAATTGCAAAGTTTAGCTGCACAATATAATCCCCAACCCGATTGTGTGTTATGACAAGAATCATGCGGGGATCGACCAGTTAAGTAACCTGCCCTTGTACCTAAACTTACTGGTAAATGCATTTATACAAACAAATGGATTTGTCTTGTCCTCATGAAGTACTATAGTTGCCACCATGTTTTACTACTAGTACTAGTTTTCATAATCTTGTCTTCAATGCTCTCCAAACTAGTGGTTTTTGGTATGAACTCTCTTTTACTGTCAATCAATATTTAAGTCATTTGTGAAACTTCCAACATATCATCCGTTGGGGTGGGAGAAAGATCTCTCGATCAATCAACTTTGGCATCGGTATTTTAATTTTAATAAAGAAGATGCCATTGCAACTTGGAATGACCAATAATCAGCAGTTGAATTTCCAAGAACGAACAATTCCAAGGTGGAGGTGCATGCATCTTCAACTTTTAGTTTAGGTATAAAAAAATGGATTCGCATGACAATGTAAAGAAATTAAAAGCCAGTAACCCATCAGAGAAAATGATGCGCGAGGGATTTACAAGAGAGAATCCCATCTCTCTATCTCCAGTTAAAGAAGAGGATCCTATTGTTTCAAAAGTGCAGTGACCAAAACAAGTTGAGGTCTACTATACGGTTGGCAGAAAGGCACCGCTCCAACTTCTGATGCTTCATTACTGTGAGTTTATGGGATTTGTTTTCGATGAATTGAAATTTCTTTATGATGGTAAGCAGCTGAAGCCAGAGAACACGGCCCAAGATTTTAAAATGGAAGATGGAGATACAATTGTTGTAGTGTCTGACATGTTGGGTGGAGGTGGAGGTGGAGGTTGTCTCGCCAATTCTTTTGCCTGAGAATTCCTTTCCTTGCCTTGCCTTGCCTAATTTTTCTTAATTAATTCTCAAATATCATGAGTCATATCTTCCCAAAAATAAAAAATAAAAAATGATGAGCTCATGAGTTGTCAGTGTCGCTCCTTGAGGAATTTTATAAAGAGAAATTCAGTTTTATCTACTACTCTTACTAATAGTGTCTGTCTTTTTCTTTTGACAGATGATTTAGAAAGATGGATACGATTATATGAATTTCAACATCACTAATGTAGAAACAGAAGAAGAAATTAATAGTGTGTGCTCTTTTTTTAAGGCATTTAAATCAGAGGCAGACATCCAAATGCTCTATGCCAACGAATCCTACTGAAGATACATGAAACATTAATTTATTCCTCTGGTATTGCCTACTTTCTGATATATGACTGGTTTTGTTTGTTCCTACCTACGTTTAAAAGGTACGATCGAGACCTTCAAATGACAACTTTAAAACGGGCAGGAGGAGGCGGAGTAATGGGTTTGAGAAAGATTTCCCAAAACAAAATTGTAGACAACTTGCAGAAGGGATGAATTTATACAATAAACATGTTCTTGCATAATATACTAAGTTGATATTTGCTCATCCAAGTAGCTATTTAGACTCAGCCCTTTCCCTTCCTCTTTCATATCATCACCTCCAACTCTCTTATACACAAAACACCTTGCCATCAATACATAAACACACAAATTAACAGCACTCAACCCTGCCAAAACCCAGTAGAAGTAATCCAAGTGCGCCCGGTTAAGATTATTTCCGAGCCATGGTTTCCCATGCCTTGCACTAATCATCTGCACAACAGTTATAATAGCAGTATTCACAAAGCTCCCAATTCCCACAACGCTTATATATGCTGCGGCCCCTATGCTTCGCATTACCTCCGGTACTTGATCATAGAATAGTTCCTGTAGTCCAACTATGGTGAAAACATCAGCTATTCCACATATCATGTATTGTGGAAGCAACCACCACACGCTCATTGGAACTGTTGCCTTTGGCGTGTCAATTAGGCCGTGTTCTTTAGCAGTGCTGACCCTTTTGGCCTCCACAAGAGCGGCAATGACCATCATGAGTATAGAAAGAAATAATCCAACCCCAATTCTCTGCAGTATGGTTATGCCTCCGGTGACTTTCCTGGCCATTGGAATAAATATCCGATCGTAGATGGGGACAGTGATGAGGATTGTGAAACCTATGAGGCTTTGCAAGGCTGCTGGAGGAACCTGGAAGTGGGGTCCAATTGATCTGATCATGGTGCTTCCTTGTTTGATGAAGAAGGTATGGACTTGGACGATGACAGCACAATACATTAGGCATCCTAGCCATACAGGAATGAGGCGGAGGACAAGCTTCACTTCCTCCACCTGGTTCAAAGGACAAAGCCGCCATGGATTCCTGGTTTTGGTCGAGACATCATTGTCGTCAATGATCATTGCCTTGTCTAAACATCTGCAGCAAATGTAAGAAGCATTAATTAGTTGGTTTTACTAGCATAAAAATTAACTGTTTTTCTACATATATATGATACTACAAAATTTAACAGGGTACTTACGACGTACCTGAGTTGGTTGGTTCGAACCAAATTGCGACTACTACATTGGCCTCTGTAATCCTGGTCTTGGTAACATATGCCACGGCCACTTGAAGTCTCAGTGACGCGCCACTTCCTTGCCGCGGCAACAAACACCTGTAACAAACTGGTTAAGGGGCTGCCTGTCGGGCTCTGCTTTCGGTACCTCTTAATACCCATCAAGAACATGACCAGAGCCGCCGCCAAAGCCCCTGCTAGCACTCCAAATCCAACCGTCCAACTGACATGATCCTATATATGTAATATGAATATAAAAAGATTAAGGAACTCAGCTGAGCTAGCTGCTGGACATGATATATATATATATATATATATCCAAACAACGACTACTTAATTAATTAGTAGTTTATAATTAACTCATGCCTGTAAGTAAATGACGACTAAAACTGCAGAGGAGGCGCCGAAGACTATTCCTAAATACCACCAGTTGAAAAACGAGCTCTTGACTGCCTTGTCATCGTCGAACTGATCTGCTGCGAACGTCTGCACGCAAGGCTTGTGGCCGCCTTCGCCCACCGCTAATATATAGAGTGCTGTGTAAAACACCGCTCTCCGATGTTCCATAGGAACAACTGACACAGACAAACTCAACAAAACCATCCCCTGCCCGCCCACCGGCCGCCCAGTTTCCCCAAAAAAAAGAAAAGAAAAATTATTAGTATATGTATGTACGACGTACAAGCAACATGGATGAATCAAGAATAGTACATTAATCTTGACTAATTAATTAAGCTAGCTAAGATTCATCAGAAGTGAACTCACCAAGAAGAAAACAATGGATGATAAAAGGATGGTTTTGAAGCGACCCAAGTAGGAATCGGCGATGAAGGCTCCAACTAAAGGGAAGATGGAAGAGACACCAACCCAGGTGTTGACATTCTTAGCAGCCGTGGCAGTGGGCTCTCCCAGATTATTGGTAAGGTATGTGATGAGATTGGCGGCCAGGCCATAGAAAGCAAATCGCTCCGTCATCTCCACAACTATATATACACACATAATTAATTAATTCAACCAAAAATAATTAATTAGTCCAAATTAAGATTCACTTAATCAACCTCCTCCAGATTAATCCATCTCTAACAGGAAGAGAGACATACGGATATATATAATTTAATTATTTATAAAAAGAAGACTGATGAGTGATGAATATATCATTAAAAATAAATTAAAAGGATTTACATATATATAAATAAGAGAACATATATATGTAGACATAGCTTACAGATTACGAAAATGGCAGCATTCCAGCCCCCTTTGGGTTTGGGGTGTCTTTCAGTACTGATCTCATCTCCAGCCGAAGTCTTCTTCCGATGGTCGGTGTCTATCATGGGCGGAGTAACTGATGAGGAATCCATGGAAGAAAATTGTAAAAGGAAGGGAATATATGGTACTAGGAACAGGAAGCTATCAAATATTGTATTTTTGGTTCTTAACTGCACCAAACTCAGACTTTAATTTATAGGATAGAGATTTGCTTGAATATAAAATTTAATTTTATATATTATATTTATACAATATTTTAATAATTTATCTTTACATTTTCAATAATTCTCATTTATCATAAGTTATATATAATTATAAAAGTATTGATTGAGAATGAGAGTCTGAAATTTCTAGTTGCAGATTTGATTATGCATAGTTGTGATTGAACTCAAAAGTCAGCCGGTGTGTTCCCAAATTAATTGGACTCTAAGTTTTAATTATAGTACAGTGTGTAGTGCTCTTAATTAAGTATTGTATTTTTTTTTAACATTAAAAAATTTGAAGGATAATAGATTTTTTCAAGATATTGATGAGAAGTTAAAATTTTAATTAATTAAATATAAATTTTTAAGATTTAAAAATGAATCATTAAATCTAAAAATTTAGTTTAATTAAGTGCTGTGTTTAATTTTCTTTTCTTTCGTATATATCCATTTGCATGTACAGCGTCTTAGTGACATCCAACTCATTTTCCAATCTAAAGAATATGATAGCAGTAGCTTCCTTTGCCTTTTCCGTTCCTTCACCTAATTTACTACTACTTTTCTTCCCATATCTTATTTTTAAAATAGTTTTATGGAGTCTCCTCGACTCCACCATTGGACGTCGCCTGTAAAATCTCCACTCTTTCTTTTCTAATACTAGTGTCAAAGTCTGTACCTGTCGTCTGTCGGTAAAACCGCCCAATTGACTTTTCCCCTAATTACTTATTTCTTTTGTTTATGCTTAATCCTTCCCAATTTAAGTTGTCGGCCAAAACAAAAAACAAAAAAAATCTTTACAAAGTTCCAACAACTTAAGTCGTTCTTTACATCATCATTGATCATGGTGTGGGTGATCCATTAATTAAACAAATAATCTTAAATAATTATATTTAAAAAGAACTTCCAAAACACATTTGTCTATTAGATGTTATTTGAACTCTCACCAATTCAATCCAATTTTCTTCCATGGGAGAATGCAGGCTTTTAATTTTCGAATGTTGTCATTTTTTCAGTAATGGAAATAGATTTTTATTTTTAGCGGTAGGTATTTTTTAATATAAGAGTATTTAGTAAAACTTCAAAAGCATTTATTTTAAAAATATTATTTTTTTATAAATTAAAAATTTTATTAAAAAATACTTAAAGTTAAATTTTTAATAAAATTTAAGTAAAATTAAAAAAAAACAATCAATTAAAATTTTTCAAAAAATAATTAAAAATTAACTTTAAAAAAATTAATTTTTTCCCATTAAAAATTTTAATATAAAAAACATAAATAATATTTTTTAAAATAAATACCTTTTAAATTTTACCCAACACCTTATATCTGTATATTAGGTACCAAGGGCTGAGCAGCTACATGAGAGGGTCATAGCCCACCAGCGATTCTGCCGCTATTACACCTTTTTAATTAAACAATTAAAGTCAATTTACAATTTTTGTTTTCCCTTTTCAGATCAGAAGAGAAGGATGGACCATGTAAAGCTCCAAAATGAAAAAAAAAATGGGTTCATTTTTAGGTTCAAAGATATATTGATGATGACTTGAAGTCCATTACAATTGAAGGTCATCCAAGTCTGGGCTTCCTAGGCGTTCCAGGCTCCCCCACTTGCCAGGCCACCTCCTACAAGATTGGAATTGGATTACAATTAGCAGAAATGTGAACATGTTTGAGCTTCAAGGCCTAAAAATAAAATGACTCAAGTTCTGCCATGGGCTTTTCAGCTCAAAGGGTAATTCCGTATTTTCAGTATTTAGAGTTTTTTTTTTCAAAGAATCAATAAAAAAAGACATAGGATTTCGCCTAGCTAAACTTTAAACTATAGCAAAACATGCTAACAAGAAGGAATTAATATCTTAATTAAAGTCAGGAATTAAAATTTTTGTCATATCAATTGTCAAGTAATTAAATTTCTAATATATAAAAAAAATAATACACTGATTATTTTTCTTTTTTTTTTTTCTCTGTATCTTCCCACATCCCAACATTTCCCATTAGTTAAAAATAAAAAATAAAAAAAGGGCGAGAGAAACGAAAAGAAAAGAGAGTCAAAATTTAGCAATAGCACCACATAAGGGGAACTTCTAATTTTTCTAATTAAGTAGTTTTACTTCACAGATTTACTATATAAGGAGTTTTTGAATGCCATTATTGATATGGCTAGCAGATTCTGTTAAACAAACCCACACCTTACTGGCATGTTGATAATTTCTCTTACTATTGACATGAACATAAAATCATTAATTGGGTTCTTAAATGAGAACCATAATACTAATACTAATAATAATAATAATAATAAAACATCATGTTTTTTTATTTTTATTTTTATTTTTTTGCAAGAAACTGCCTTGTTATGCCTCCTCTTAGATAGGAACTTTGCTCACCAAATTGGCACAACATTCTTCTCATCAAAATCATAGCTCATTTTAATTCTTAGTGATCCACCCTTGAAAAAATGTTATCGTTAACGTATTTAAATCTATTCTAACTCCAAGCTACTAAATTTGTTACTAGTAAATAAAATACCAAGATGTCATATTCTCAATGATTTGTATAATATGATATGTTACTTTTTTAATAATAAAGTATTAAACTATTATATGATGAGGTTATACCAACTTAATATAATATTTAGCTATGCTTGGTAATTAAAAAAGTCGTCACTTATCAAGGAAAGTTGAAGATTGTGTTTGGTCCATGGGAAAAGTTTTTCCATCTAACCTTTTCCCTCACAAATTTGATAGTTGTTGAGGCTTTCAATAAAAATGTAATGTACATGAAAAAAGATATATAAATTTTCTCAAACAATGTCTTTTCTGAAAATCAAATATTAATTCATTCTTTGAATTATTTTATTTTTATGAAAAAGCATTCTCGCTAATAGCTACACACATGACATTTTTTAATTTTTCTTTAGAGTTTTACCAAAGAGTTTGTTATTTTATCATTTTAAACAGTCCTATTAAACACTCTTTCGTTTCTCAAATCCCCTCATTTCCCATTGTTGTTCAAAAACAGTCCTTTGTTTTTCATAAAAAGACATCCTCTCCTCCACTCTTGTCTTGGGCCTTGGCCTTGGCCTCTCTGCTTTCTCACCCCAAACCAAAAGGCTTGGGATGGTGATACATTTGCAACCAGAGAAACCAATACAGAAAACCAAACTAACTGGTCATCTGGTTGGGAGAATTCTGCCAAACAGAATGAGACCACTATGTTAAAGCAAAATAAATGGTTTTCTTGCTCTAAAACACAAGACAGCCTCTCTGAAGAAGAGGAATCTATGAAGGTCAATCCTTGGGAAATGAGAGCTGCAGGTGATAATTATCAGTGGGGACAGTCCAGAGGCTACAGGGGTAGGGCTTCAAATGGTAAGGACTGGAGACAAAAGAAAAATAACTCTGAAAGGTCATCTGGATTGAACGATGATGCAGGTGTTGCTGCATTATACACTGCAACCAGACAGAGATTGGATATATTTACTTCCGAGGAGCAGGATATTCTGGTGGATGTGGAGTCATTAATGCAGTCCATCAGAAGAATAATGCATAATTCTGGGTAAGTTTTTACGTGCGCTCATTATTCCTAGAACAATATGGAAAGTTAATTTCCTCTAAAATCTAGAAAGCGTGGTTCTGCGACTGAAAGACGTTGAATATTTATGTGTTTATTATTATTATAATATTGTTTTTTCTTTCAGTTCAATGCCTTCATTTGTTTTTCGCCAGTCTAGAAGATTTAGTTGGACTTGGATAGAGTATTCAATGCCGGGTTTTTCTCAGCACAGGGATTTGCACCATTTGGGAAGATATACTCTGCTTGTATTACCTGAAGTTTTAACTCTGTAATTTTTAAACCTCTTTCAACTTTTCCCTACTTGCCTGCATACTCTCTATGATGTCTTGGGTGGTATTGCATATCTTCATCTCATATTTGTTTGATGAAAAAAGAATTCCTGTTTGAAGTTATAATGATGGGGATCCACTGTCTGCTGAAGATCATTCCTTTGTACTTGACAACGTCTTTGCTTATCATCCAGAGAAAGCCAGAAAAATGAGTGCTGGCATTGATTATTTCATGGTATGCCCAACTACTCCTCTACTTTTGCCTAGTTAGTTTCTTCAATTTTTAAGTCATTGTCTATCCTAAGAGACCTCACAG